GCTGAACTCGAGCCCTTGTCCTTGCCAGGGAAGCACTTATTCCACTGAGCCATCTCTCCAGCCCCTAAGTACAAACTTAAACTCAATGTTTGTTGTAGCATACATTATGCTTTGTCACCAACATTTTCCTTCATCTGGGGTCTTCTATTTTAATAACAAACATTTGGCCAAATTTATTTGGTTCTGCAGCGAACTACACTTAAATGACTTAAATGTTTCTTTGGAAACCTTATTTTTAAGTTTTCAAAGAGAATCCCAACTTCTCACTTGGGATGGCCAGGTACAAGTACAACCAGCAGCCTCCCCTTGAAGGTGACACCCCAGAAAAGCTTGTTGCTCTACTGATGGCTCTCAGTAGCACTGCATTAAAAAAAAAAAAAAAAAAAAAAAAAAAAAAAGACAAATTAAATTGTTTTCAGAAAAATGAAAATTCACTCTAGGAAGATGCATTTTAAAAAGTTATTCTAGGGGTTGGGGAGATTGCTCAGTATGGTGCTTGCCTGGCAAGTGCAAGGGCCTGAGTTCAATCCCCAGTTCCACCAAAAAAAAGTTTAAAGGGCTGGAGATTTAGCTCAGTGGCACAGCATGTGCCTGGCAAGCATGAGGTCCATAGTTTGATTCCCAATACTATCTAAATGTACGTTATTCTAGAATTCTGATCTCTAGGTTCCTTCAACAGTTTTTGTGCTTTAAACATACATCTCAGGGCCAGGGAGAATAGCTCAGTAGAATAAGCTCTTGCTTGGTAAGCGCAACGGCCTGAGTTCAATCCCCGGTTCTGCCTCCCCCCCAAAAAACCATTTCAACTATAGCTTAACAAAAGAATCCCTAACCCAGTGTCCATTTCCCTACTGCAAAAAAGTTGCTAAGTGGTTCCTCCAAGAAAAATTGGAAATTGTAGTTATATTGCAACTTACAAACGAGGAACCAATTTTTCTCTGCTTTTTCTGAAATACTGCATAGTTCACTGCTGATTGCATTAAATGGACCTGAATGGCCTGGAACACACAATCTAACAGTTCCACCTAACTACACATCAATGTAGAAAATCTATTCCTTTCCAAACAGGACATCCAGGGGCCTGGGAGATGGGGCTCAATAAAATAAACACTTCCCTGGCAAGCACAAGGGCCTGAGTTCAATCCTCAGTTCCACCAAAAAAAAAAAAAAAAAAAAAGCCCCCAGAAATCAATTAAGACAACCTAAGCAGGACTTTTTTTCTTTTCGTTATTGGGAGACTGAACTTAGTGTTCACATTGAGCTGTATTTCTAACTCTTTTTAAGACAATGTCTCACTAAATCACCCAGACTGGGCTCAAACTTGATATCCTCCTGCATCAGCTTCCCAGAGTGCTGGGATTACAAGCATGCAAGGCCACACCCAGCCCCTATTCATTTTTATCTCCAACTTTTAGCAGTCAGACAAAAGCATTAAAACTACAATTTAATAAGTATCAGTAAGAGAAAAAAAAATACTGTATCAGAGGTGACAACTAGTCAACAATGACCATTGCAAACCATGGCCCTATAAGCAGAATCGCTTGATGACTTGGCTGATGCCTAGATAAGCTGTAAGAGTCCCAAGTCTAGTCACACTGATGCTGGTGGCTCTAGGAAGGGGGGCAGGGCAAAAGGGGGTTGACAAGAAAGAAAAGGCCTGGTTGAAAGGAATCTACAGGACAAGGTACTAAAACAAACACTTTTAGAAAGTGGTAAGTAGACTAGTTTAGGTTGCTGAAATGGTTTGATGTAGCCAACGAAAAAAAAGCTAAGCTTCCTTGTTCAAAAAGAAAAACACCCACACAAATAAAAATACCAAAGTCAATAAAGCAACCCAACCCAAACTGTGTTCACACACATTCCTCATAAAAGTATTTCTCCAAAATCCATCCTTTACATCTTGTAGAAATCCTAGCAAGTCTGCGAGGAAACTGAACTCCAGGAGTGCTCTCCTTAAATAAAAGATATTCAGCTTTTCCTTCCTTTTTCAAGACAATGCCGATCATTCCCTAGATAAGGGCCAATTACGGGGAGAACACTTAGGTTCACTCCTTTGACATTCCTACGAAATCAGCACCTGAAAGCATTACTACCTACCATTTAAGCAGTCTCAGATGATCTTTAAAGGCTGAACTTACTTGAAATCAGAATGTCTCCTTGCTCTAAGTAAAAAGGCAAGTGACAACTACATAATTTTATAAGGAATTCTCCAAGTGTTTCAAGATATAGAATTAGATAAATAACATTTGAAAACAAAATGAATTTTATACCAAACCTGAACGAGGACAAATATGAACATTCTAAACGTGCAATTAACGAAGGAGAAAACTACCAAGAAAAATGGTACTTAAGTCAACGTAGTTTCCTACCACACGTGAGTAATCTTAACTTTTTGAACTCTATAAACATACAAATGCTAAGGGTAAAAAAAAAAAATCTATATATTGATGGACACCAGTTTCTGGCCGATTACAAGACTGCAATGCATCCTGGGATTCCTTCAGGACGGTTCGGAGCCACAGACATTTGAAACGCAATTACAATTTTAATAGTAGAAATTTCAACAGAAGAAGCTCTCTGACTAGGCCTCGGGCGAAGGGACCACTAGAGCACTTGTTCTCCCCAACACTTAGACTCTCAACAGCCACCCGATGATTCCGACTGCCTCCCAGCTCCATGTGTAGTCCTTTATGGGCCTCGTGGCACTGACCGCCGCAGCCCCTCTGTCCCTTACGGTTCCCACTTCCAGAGGTGCTTGGAGGGACAAGCTTCACCCGCTCCCCGCCAGAACCCTGATGCGACACCCAGCATCCCCGCAGGCCCGCCCAAGGCTCGGGCCACTCCACCCAGGCCGGCCGGCACCGCTGCTGTCAGCGCCCCACGTGCGACCGGCCCCAGGGCCGCGCGTCCTGACCCCGGCTGCCCCATGCCCCAGCCCTTTACCCAAGGGGCCTCCCGCGCCGTTGCCCGCTCCGTGGCTGTCGTCGGCCGTGGCGCCAGCTGCGGGTGGCGGTGGTTGGGCCGAGCCGCGTAGGAAGGACGGCACGAACTCAGCGGCATGGACGTTGGGCACGAAGGGCTTGGCGTTGACGTTGAGTTGCCGGCTGAAGGCCGCGCTGAGGTGCTCACGCTGGGCCTCGGCCGCCACCGCCGAGCCGCCGCCGCAAGGGCCCGGCCCAGGAGCTTCCATGTCCGCCTGGTCCCAGCAGTCAGGCGCCGAGTCGCTGCTACTGCTCCCGCAGCTGCTCCCGCCGCCGCCGCCGCCGCTGCCGGGATCCATGATCGGGGGGGCCGTGTGTGTGGTGAAGAGAGGGCGGGAAATGGAGGCGGGGGCGTCCGGCCGGGGAGGAGCGGGCCGAGCTGGGCCAGGAACGGCGGAGACGGAAGGGCCAGCACCTAGCGACACAATCTCCGGCGTCGCCGCAGCGGTGGCTCCAGTGCGAACTCGGCACTCGCGAAGGCAGTCGGCGGCGGAGGCAGCAGCGGCGGCGGGCGCTCAGGCCTCCTTCTCCTCCTCGTGTGTGCGAGCGGATCTCCTCCCATCCAACGCAACCACCGCCGTCTACCTCACCGCCAACCCCCACGCCCGGCGCAGACTGACCCCCTCCCCACAACCCGTACCTTCGCCTTGGTAGTTTCCGACCCTCTCCGCACTCACTTCCGGCTACGGAGCACGGCAGACGGCTGAACTACGAGTTCCGGCAGCGCCTGCGCGACCCCGCCGCAGGTTCCCTCCCCCGCCCGGGGGCCGACGGGAGTCGGAGTTTAGGGGCCGGCTCAACCGGAAGCCGGTCTGCCTCCCAGCAGGCAGCGCAAACCGGCGGAGAGGTGGTGTCAGCTTCGCGGCCCCACCTGTCACCGGGTGGGGGCGGGGACCGGCCCTGGTGAAAGTCAAGGCTGGACCAGGGATCCATAAGTTCCCACTCGGGCTGCGGGCGAGGAAAAACTGCAGAGCTGGGGAGGGAGGGAGCTCCTATCTCCTGCTGATCCTTTGCCTTTTCACTACCTTTTTTGCTTTCTCTGCCTCACACTCCCTAGCTTGTTCTCCATCTCCCCGCTTTCCTCCCCTCCCCCAGCTAGATTTTGTCCTACATTTTAAAGCCCATGCAGGGCGTCTTGTATTTTATGTCTTTCATTTTATCATTTGGAGACAAGACAATAAAACCATGAGATGTTACAACTTAAACTGCAATGTGCCTCATAAAGGGCTGGGGCCCAGGTTCTGCCCAAGCACAAGGGATTGTTAACTGGAAAGTTTCAATGACTCAGTCTGTTTGACTACTCATTAGAAGCCTTCACCTAAATTTTTCCATTCCTTCCTCCTCCCTACCAAGAGACTTACAAATTAAACAGAGGTTTGTCATAAGCCATGATGTTTCTAACCTGCATCTAACTAATGGGGTTATTTTGGTACATCCAGTTTTCTTTCTCATATGACATTAGGTGAAGTAGTCCCATTTTCTTTAATGACCACATCTCACACAGGTTGTGTTTGGGTAAAGTAGAAAGCAAAGAGAAACAGTCTGCGTTTAGTTCTAAACTGTACAAAGCAGAGAAAAGCACATTCTTTGTGGGAGGGAGTTTCCCCTTGTTTTACAAAAAGTGTTGGAAAACATATGATTAGGAGAAAAGCAAGTTAATATTTCTCTGAAAGAAGTCCAGATACAACGCATCACACCTGCCTAGAAATTACATTATAAAAATACAGACACACAGAAAGTTATTGTTTCTTAACCTTGGATTTTTACCAAAAAAAAAAAAAAAAAAAAAAAATAGATGTAGATCTGAATTTTAGTTTGGGGAGGTTGAGAGTGTCTCATGCTATAGTCCTGGCTGGTGTCAAACTCAGGCAAGCCTCCTGAGTGCTGGGATTAAGGTGTGCACACCACATCTAGCTGAATTTTCATTTTATTTTATGTATTTAGTACAGGATCTCGCTACATAGATCAGACTTGTAGTGATCCTCCTGTTTTCAGCCTCCCAAGCGCTAGGATTACAGGTGCCTGCCACCATGCCCAGCCTTCAATCGCCAGCTCAGGGGGTTGGGGGCACAGTGCCAGCACAGGCACAGCACGCTGGCGATGGAACTCAACCGCTGCTCTCTACCGGTACCGCAAGGAAAAAAAGGTGTTTGTTTGTTTGTGTTTTGGCGGAACTGGGGATTGAACTCAGGCCCTTGCATTTGCCAGGCAAGTGCTTACTGAGCCATCTCCCAGGCCCCCCCAAAAAATGTTAAAAAAAAAAAAAAAAAGAATAAAATGATAAAAGGCATAGCTTCCAATGGGTGTGGTGGAGCACACCTATAATCCCAGCACTCAGGAGGCTGTAACATTGCTGTGAGTACAAGGCCAGCCTGGGCGACATAAGTGAGTTCAAAGCCAACCTGCAACATGTAGTGAGATCCTACCTTCAAAAAACTGGCCAGGGAGATGGCTCAGTGGCATAAGCATAGGCCTGAGAAGTACAACGTCCTGAGTTTGATCTCTGGCACAAAAATAAATAAATAATACATCATAGCTCCTTTCATCCGAAAGATATGTATTGCTAGTGAATAAAAGATTTAACCACAAAAACTATATTATGTCTGAAACAAGATGCCTCTTACTCAAGATTTACACTCTCCAACCCACTTCTGAGAAGATGTCAACACACACAACTGAGTCTCTGTTAGAAACCACATTTTCCTCCTGTATCAACCCTAGGACTTTTATTTTATTTTATTTTATTTTATTTTATTTTTGAGGTAGTGTTTCACTATGCAGTTGAGCTGGCCTTGAGCTCACTTTGAAGCCCAGGCTACTTTCAAACTTGCAGGGATCCTCCTGCCTCAGCCTGGGATTACAGATGTGGGCCACCACACCCTAGGGCTATGCTAGGACTCTGGATGATGATAGCCTGGTAAGTCAAGGTCCTGGTATTTGTACTTCTTAATAAACTGCACAATATTTGTGGCAAAAGAATAATAACTTTTTTTTTTTTTTGCGGAACCGGGGACTGAACTCAGACCCTTGTGCTTGCCAGGCAAGCACTTATTCTACTAAGCCACCTCCCCAGCCCCAAGAATAATAACTTAAAAATAATAATAATAATAACTTTTAGGGGCTGGTGAGATGGCTCAGTGGTCTAAAGCACCCCTGGCATGTGGTGCTGGGGGATTGAACCACGGTCCCTGTGCTTTGCTAAGCTTGTTCTAAGTAGGTGCTTTAGACCACTGAGCCATCTCACCAGCCCCAATAATAACTTTTAAAAGGACTGAGCATGTAGCTTGGTGATAGAGCACTTGCCTAGTGTATACAAGGCCATGAGTTTGGGCCTTAGTATCGCTAAAAAAAATAACAAAAGATTGTGTCGCTGGGCTCTGACATAGCTCCTGTCTCGCATGTGTGAGGTCCTTAGCTTAATCCCCACCACCACAAAAAATAAAAATAAAATGTATACTTCTACTGAACATGCAGTTTTTTTCTTGCCATTTTTCCCTACAGTGTGACAACTTTTTTGGGGGGGGTTGGGTACTGGGAATTGAACTCTGGACCTCGCACTTGCCAGGCTGGTGCTGTTCTGCTGAGTAACATCCCCAGCCCTAGTGGGACAGCTATTTACATAGTATTTACATCACATTAACTATAATTAACTAGAGATGATTTAAATATATAGGAGAAGTAACTCTGAGATGAAGCGGAACATCTCGTTCCCAGCCACTGGCTGCCAGAAACTCATCGAGGTCGATGATCAGCTCAAGCTTCGCACGTTCTACGAGAAGCGTATGGCCACAGAAGTGGCCGCTGACGCCCTGAGTGAAGAGTGGAAGGTTATGTGGTCCGAATCAGCGGTGGGAACGACAAGCAGGGCTTCTCCATGAAGCAGGGCGTCCTCACCCGTGGCCATGCGCCTGCTGCTGAGTAAGGGGCACTCTTGCTACCAACCGAGGAGAGCCAAGGAGAGAAAGCGTCAGTCCGCGTGAGGCTGCACTGTGGATGCCAACCTCGGCGTTCTCAATCTGGTTATTGTAAAGAAAGGAGAGAAGGACTTTCCTGGGTTGACTGATACCACCGTGCCTCGGCGCCCAGGCCCCAAAACAGCTAGCAGAATTCGCACTTTTCAATCAGTCTAAGGAAGATGACATCCGCCAGCATGTTGTCAGGAAGGCCTTGAACAAGGAGGGTAAAAACCCCAGGGCTAAAGCCCCCAAGATACAGCGACTTGTAACTCCGTGTGTCCTTCAACAAAAACGCCGCCATATTGCACTGAAGAAGTAGTGCACTAAGAGAAACAAGGAGGCTGCAGAGTATGCTAAACTTCTGGCCAAGAGAATGAAGGAAGCCAAAGAGAAACGCCACCAGCCCATTGCCAAGAGTCGCAGGCTGTCCTCTCTGAGAGCAGCTATTCCAAGTCTGAGTCCAGTCAGAAGGAAAACAAAACAAAAGTAAAATGATTAAGTAACAAATAAATTAGATCTGACTTCCTAAAAAAAAGGGGGAGGGGGATACAGATGAACGTCCATTTTGTATCTGTGTATTCAAAGTGGTTAGGATAGATATATAGTTACATTCTCTTAATGAATAGAGGGATTTGTTCTAATGGTGTTTGTAAATAGGATATCATGTCCGCATCTTCTACAGCAAATAACCACTAGGAAGACAGTATGCAATGTGTTCATTATTGGAACTGTCATACCAATTTGGTTTGAAACTGTCTCATTGCTATTCGTCTCTCAATAAAATTATGGAAAAAAAAAAGTATATGGGGGTAAGCACTTTCCTGGCGAGCGCAAGGGCCTGAGTTCAATCCCCGGTTCCGCAAAAAAAAAAAAAGCATATGGGAGAATTTGTGTATTTCATATATAAAATTGCACCATATTATATAGGGGATGTGAGCATCTGTAATTTGGTATGGGGGTGAGGGCTTCCTGTAACCAATCTGCACGTACTGAGAAAACCACACGTCTACTACGTGTAGGATATGGAGTGGGTCAGTACACCTAGTAGAGTACTGTTTCTTTAAAGACATTAGCTTTCTCCTCTCCCTAGCTTTCTCTCTCTACCTCTCTGCTCTGGTATTCTCACCTGCAGCTCTTTGCTATCCATCGCCTCACCTGTCCATCTCTCATGCTTGCCACGCTTTTAGCATATCTTGTTAGTGTCCACTAGAGAGCTGGTTGTTGGAGAGAAACACCCACCCCCAGTAGAAGCCTCCCCTACCTTTACCAAGGCCCTATTTCCTGGCCCCGCTTAGTTTTGTCTCTGTGCTTATCAAGATCTGAAATTCCTATTCATTTCCATGCTTGATGCTTTCACTAAAGCTTGGGAGAGAAAGAAACATAAGTATCTCTTCGGACTGTATAACACTTTGTAAAGTGTGAAAAGATACATATTAAACAGTAACTGAGGTCTGGGAATATAACACAGTAGTAGGATGCTTGCCTAGCATGTGCCAGGGCTTGGGTTCCAATTGTAGCACACAAAATTCCCCCCCAGTAAATGTGGGGTGTAACCATTATGTAGGGTTCCCCTTTTCTTTCTTTACCCTGCCCCTGGTAACTGCTAATCTGCTTTTAATCACTAGGATGTATCTATTCTGGGCACTTTGTGTAAATATAATCCTACAGTATGTGACTG